ACTGAAACGTATTTTTTGTAAGGATTTTTCTTGAGATAAACAAATTGTACATCTGTGTGCAAAATTTTTTCAATTCGCTTAAAAAAGTTCTCGAGATATGGTGAAATATACAAAAAGTGAAATTAACGTTAAGGGGTCCAAACTTTGGAGCTCCCTCCTGACCAAACTATGGGGACCATATTTCCCAAATTGCAGCTATCTCCTATGTCACATGTATCCTTTGCGTAATGTGACAATTTACTCTTTTATTTAAATCTAATCTTCTAATTTTCTTAAACTTTTATTTCCTTTTTTTATGTAACAGTTTAATCTTCTTTTTGGGAAATTTTCCTAATAATTGTCTTAAATTAGGGTTTTGTTTTCTCAATTTAAACATATAACTTTCCTAAAATATTTCGTCCTGCGAAATTTCACTTTTATTTTCTTAATGTATATTAGCTTTCTGTTCGCCCTTCCTCGCTGGTCAACGCTGTCGTCGCACTTCTTGTGGGGAGAGATACCCCTTTATACTCGCCTTTTTTTTTCTTCATTTATTTTTGTAAAGGGGGCTTACTTAACCAATCTCTTTTATCTGATTTTCGAACTCTCACCTCTTTAAATTTAATTGGTATCGCTTTTCTGGGCCTTCATCAGTTAACGAATTTTGTGAGATTTTTTTAACATTCTCTCGCATGCATGCTTGTTTGGGGACTCCAAGGGGTATACTCTCTGTCTCTCTCTCCGAGATGTGGACTTATGTCCATATCGACGGGATTTTCTTTTTTTTTTTTTTGCATCCCTTTTCTTAGCCTTTAATTTTAAATTAAATCCACAAACCGTAATTAACTTCTGCAAATTTAATATCTACATTTATACCTTCAATTTTCCTTAACATTAAAGATCCTCTCAAATTTAAGCTTTCTTTCTATATTTATCTTTTTCAACAGTTAAATTTCTCGATCTTTTATATTTTATTTTTTATGAATGACGCCTTTTTTTTTAAACTCTCGTGTCACCCATTTCTAATAAAGGCCTTTCATTGTGTTACTAAATGTGTCAAAAGATATGTTACTAAATAATATGCTGGTTTGTTTGTAATTAAATGTTGTGCTGAAGTACTACCACTTTTCCTTAATGATCACGTTACCCTTAATTTAATTACTATTGATCTTATTTTCGGCCTTTATTTGTTTATTATGAAATTCAACATATGCCTGTTTTTTTACTCAATGACTATATCCAAATACAAGTACATATACATATTTTAACCCATCTATTTTAATATGAAATAAATTTACTCTAATTTGCACCATATAAATATTATTTTTAAATTGCACACCCTATATCTTGAGGATCAAAAATTCAAAATCCGTTGAGTCCTAAAACAGGAAGATACTATCATTAGATCAAAAGTTACTCAGCGTGGTCAGTTGTTTTTTGGCGCACTGTACTTCCTGATGACGCAACTTCGGAGATACAACACATACGAATTTTCAAACGTATAATCCCGTCTTTAAGATTGTTTTATTGATGCTTTAAAAACTGACTAATCTATTTGAATTTTGTAAATAAAATTACTTAATTTTCCACAATGTAAAATAAGATATTTTTGTTAACTTTATTTTTTAAAACTGTCTTTATCTTAAGTTCATTTTGTACACAAAAATTGACTTTGCAGAAAACTACCCCTTATTCCCGATATTCTGAACTCCCGCAAGAGATAAAAATTAGGAAAATAATCTAAGCTCATTATTTTTCATAACTTTTTTAAAATGAAAAACTGACTAAATAAATAAATCTTTACAATATAAAATTTCGGGGTGGTGTTCTGTCTTAAGAGTTCAGTTGAAAAACTAAGTTCAGTGGCATTTACGTTATCTTACTCTTCAAGTCTATTTCAAGCGAACCAAATATGAAAAAAACAGCAATTTAAAAAAAATCCATAATATATCAAAAACGGTTGATTAATTATTACAAAAAATTATCTAAGTCTTTTTTAAAACACTAGAAGTAAACCTAAGTTTAGAAAATATTAAATTAAAAAGTAAGAAAATGAAAGTTGTTTCAAATCAAAAGTAAAGTATGGCAGAAATTTAAACTATATTAGTAAATTTCTATCTTAGTGCGTAAAATTAAGTTAGTTTCATAAAAAAAATGTATGCTCGGACAGTGGAATTATCAATTAAAATGATGTATTCGAAACAATAGTGTGTTTAATGTAGTACTATCATCAAAATAGTAATCGAAAAATATACCGAAAATTCTGAAATAAATTACTAACTACGAAACGAAGGATATCTTCACTGTCGTACAATGTTTAATTTCTAAACAATACAAATTTTATGTACTGTAGATACAAAAATGTTTCATTATACAAAGAAGGAAAATTATTCATTGATATCATATCCTGCAGTAGACTAATCGTAATGACTCGGTTCAAAGTAGAACACTGAAGTCAAGCATCACTGGCAGCGGTCAGTTAGTGGGTGGTTGGCCACTTCGATCAGCCTGCGTAGGGACCAAGGGTGGGTGGTATCAAGCTTCATTAAACTGTTTTGCCGTAAAGTGCTTGACTTCGCACGCAGGTCGTCCGGCAGCAAAGTGGGGGAGTTATCCCCTCTGCAGAGGTCAAAATTTTGATCAAAATTATGATTTGATCTATCGGATTAAAATTGTCTCAAATCAGATCAAAATGCATGTCTTCGGAGCATCCTGAGGGTTGTTTCCTAGATCGTTGCCTATGGCCCATAGTGCAGCTCTAGTGCGATGTAAATAAAATACCTACCTACCATTCTTATTAAATTCTTTTAAGAGATTAATAAAATTCTGGGCATTAGTTGGAACGTGCCAAGCCTATAATTAAATCACGTTAGCTTACGTACGAATCAACATATTCCAAAAAAATTTGTGGTCAGGCATAATCAAAGACGTAAACCACAGAGAAGTTCTTAAAGAGCTTCCACTCTAATGTTATAGTACGTAAGAAAGCGACGCCTTTCTTATTTCCAAAGGGTGGCAAAATTACATTATTCTAACTTAACTTGTAACATTATCCAATTTAGAGCTCCACTTAAAATTTGAGAATTCTAGCTAGTCCGAAAGTAGTCAAAAATTTTATTAACGATACCATTCGTATTAAATTTTTACTAATTCCTTTGCTGATAATATAATGAGAAATTCTGATTTTAGAGGTCAGAAAATGAAACTTGTTTTGTCATCCAGCACGGAACTCCAGTTAAAATTTGAGCATTTTGGCTAATCTGGACAAGATCAACATGTTAATTGACGATAAACTGTGTTTGGAGCGGTCAAGAAACGATTGCAACTCTCGTCGTCATCGCGCACAACTCTTCAGTCGAGATTTGACTACTCTAATCGGACGGAAAGTAATCGAACTTCTATCGCAAGACTCTATTGTCCTAAGAATGAAAACTAATTAATAAAAATTTAGATATCAGTATAAGTACAAACTTTTTGCTTTCATTGAAATAAATGACGTACGGTTTTAGCAAAGAATCTAAGGAACAATAAAAAGAGATAATCAAAATAATCTGAACTTATAAAAAAAAATAACTTCTTAAATTACAAGTAGATTAAATAAAAGAGTGAAAAACATCTATACTTAATTTTTTTTGTTAATGCAATAATCCGTCAAAATAAGCCAATTAGGACTATATATANAGAAACAATTTTTTTCTTTTTTTAAATCAGCAGTGGGGACAAGTGAGGGAATGACATATTGGTATATTTTAATTACCTAAAATAAATAAAAAATAAAAATTGATAATTTTATTTTTATTCTTTTGTTAGCTTGCATTCTGAAGGACACTTTCCTTGAATTTTTTTTTTCGTAAGCTGTAAAACAAACATAAAATATACTGGGGACATGTAAATGACTGTTTTTGTGAGAATGACCCATATATATAAATTGTTTGAGATTTTTTGCTTCCTCTTAGGGAATTATAATATTATGTTTCCGTAAAAATTTACTTGAAATACATCCAAGCGTTCAAACGTTAATACCTATACAGCATAAACTTCCAGAGAAAATTTTACAATCTTTTAACGTTACTATTTGATTCAAAGTGGCATAACCGAACGTGCTGCATATAAATAAAGTTTTGCGTCAACGTACCGTGTAAACATCTTATCCTTTCAAAACGACATACCAAGTTCAATTCAAGGGGAAAGACATGATTCATGCAGTTGATCAGATCTTATAGAGATCTGAATTAAATCTGATTATGGTTAGGTGGTATGCTGACTTTAATGATTTGAATCAGTTATACCAATCACTTGCAATAAATATCATTATTATTTTGAAAGTATAATCTTGTTATTGCGAAAAAAGTCTGGTTAGAACGATCAAGTGGTTGATACCTCTAATGATAATATAGAAACATCGTAATGAGCTTAATGAATAATAAAATGATCTGTAGCTGTAAGGGTATTAAAAGCTGGTATCATTATTAGCTCTAAGCTGTACAATTAAAATAGGTCTATCTTGAAACTCGTATGTGTTTATACCACCAAAACGGTTGTGTCAAATTTTCATTTGTAATCATTGGTTTTTCTTTTTTTTGCCCTTTATTTCTCCTTTCTTTGTACTCCATTAATGCTCGATTTTGTTTTCTTTAAAAGAGCTTTTTTTGTCAAATATATTTAACTCAGTATTTTACACCTAAAACTTTAATTGATCTTTTATTAAACTTTTTTTAACGAATCGTTTCATATGCTTTCATTTTTTGTTAAATTACACTAATAATCAGATATTTGTGAATGGCAAACTAAAGGTTGATTTATCAGCTCTCAAAAAGGTTGCAATAAGTATTTATTATGCCGGTTATTAGTTTAAATTGCCTAATTTCGTTCTATGAGTATTAAGTCAGAGCGAACAGAAAAACGCGCGACAAGAAAAACATAAACGTGAATGGAAAACCTAAGAATGACTTACGTAGTACCATTCTAAATTTTTTTGGCATGTTCATGAAATTAAATTGAATCAAAACTTTGCTCTGGAAATATCCATGAAAATTTTATTCTTTGGTTATAAAATATGTAAAATATAACAAGTTATAACAAAACAGTTTCAAACTATAAACAAATATAACAAATACTTGTCTTACAACAAGTTTATAAAGTACAAACGCATGAACCCAATGCATAAATTAACAAAAAAAAGACCAAATCACATTAAAATCAGTACAAATTAGAACCATAAATCGACTGATCTTCTCTGTAGGACTGAGGCTTATCTCCACGAGCTATATCATAAGTTTTTCCATAGCTAATTCCTCCCAGTAAACTGCTTTGATCATCGTGTAATGCTCTTCGTGCCAATCCAGTTCCGTATAATCCCGAAGAAGGCCCCAAGGAACCGTGTGGGTCTGAGCTGCTCCCATATGTTTCTATGGTTTTACTATATTCTTTTTTGGTAACTGTGCCATATGAATTTCCATATTGTTTAGGTGCTTGAGCACTCGAAGCGTAGCTGTTAGAACCTGATTGCCTTATGGCTCCATAACTTGCAGGTGCTGAAGGGGCAACATACCCACGGTGGTGCTGTGGGGAAGAATAACTGCTGGATGAATATTTGTTTGGTGAAGCGTAACTTGATTGTTGTCTTGAACTGTAAGCACTTGAGCTTGAATGTCCTGTATAAGAAGGAGCAGGACCGTACCCACTATGGGAAGAAGGAGCATATCCACTCTGAGAGGACGAAGCATATCCACTCTGAGACGATGGAGCATATCCACTCTGAGACGATGGAGCATATCCACTCTGAGACGATGGTGCATATCCACTCTGAGATGACGGGGCATATCCACTGTGGGCGGATGGAGCATACCCACTGTGGGCTGATGGAGCATATCCACTGTGGGAAGACGATGCATAACTGCTTGGTACTTTTGGAGCATATGCGCTGGATGATGAAGAACTTGGTGCTGCTGGCCGATATGGGCTAGGAGCTGGTTGAGAGTATCGACTTGGAGCGGGAGGAGGAGGGGCATATCCACTATGGCTTGAAGGAGCATATCCGCCTGATGGTGCGTATCCACTTGATGAAGCAGGAGCAGAATAGGAACTATGAACAGGGGCAGAATATCCACTTCCAGAAGCTGGTGGAGCATAACCACTATGTGATGGTGGGGGTGCATAACCACTGTTTGAAGAGGAATACCCGCTATAAGGTTTATGAGCTTGATGTGAAGATAGGGGTTTAGAATATCCAGAGGAACCATAACTGCTAATAGGAGCCGGATTGTATGAGCTACCATAGCTACTTGTTTGGGGCTTAGAGTATCTATGCCCTCCAATGGGTGATGGTTGAGAGTAAGAGCTTGGGTGTTTAGGAGCACTTCCATAACCACTTACAGGTTTAGGATATCCACTTGATAAAGAAGATGAGGGACTGTGGTGACCACTTCCATAGTTAGTAGCAGGCTTTGAATATGAACTAGATGAGTAACTGCTTGGGGGTGGTGGAGCTCCATATCCACTAGAATGCTGGGAGTAGCTACTAGGTGGTGGCGGTGGTGCACCATATCCACTTGACGGCTGAGAATAGCTACTAGGTGGTGGTGCTCCATATCCACTTGATGGTTGAGAATAGCTACTAGATGGCGGTGGTGCTCCATACCCACTTGATGGTTGAGAATAACTGCTAGATGGTGGTGGTGCTCCATATCCACCCGAAGATGGTGAGTAAGAACCACTGTAAGGACTAGATGCCCCACTGAAATAAACAAGTATTTCTATAGTGAATCGTTTCAAAATATGTATGTAAAATAAAATTATATAAAATATATGCTCCCCCATATATATATATAAATANAGTGAAAAACTGAGATTCAATCCCCAGTGGTGACTTGTGAACCCTTACTTCCACTACCCAACTTGCCCACAAATGGCTCACCAGAATATTTCACCAGCTTAGTTACTTTTCAAAATCATCTTGTACAACATACATACTTTACTATATATATATATATATATAGCAATACATCGAAAAGGCATTTCAATTTAGGGTTAAGCAAAGAATAGCCTTTGAAATTTTTACAACTTATTTATTTGAAAAGAAATACTCTAATAGGTGAAGCAACTTTCAAAAAAAAACCTATGGCATATCTATCTACGTGAACTGTTCACGACTTATAAACTTTAAAGCATCATTTTCATCTGTAACAATATTAGTATTCCTCGTTTCTAAAATTTAGTATTAGAAAAAAATTACTGAGCTTACCGAATTGAAATTTTTAGGAAAAGTTTATCAACAATTAAATTTTATGACAAACCAAGCATTTTTTTTTATTTCTAAACTCTCACACCATGTTCATTGAAACACTTAAACATATCACATTAATTTTTGCTTAAAATAAATCTTTATATAATTATAATTCTTCTTATTTATTTTTTGTAAATAATTATGTAATTATACATTTTTATTCAGACAAGATTAAATAAAACTATCTATTTTAACTCTTTCTATCTTTTAAATTTAGAAAAAATATTCGTAGCTGATATTTTTTAACTGCTGTTATATAGATTTATTATCCAAACATTGATACCCAGAACATAGTTGTTGATTATATATAGTTGTTGATATTATAATTATCCATAAAAGAATTCTAATTAAATTACTACCTAAATAAATGAAAGTATTTTAATGACCGAATTTAATTGTGTAACGTCGATAACATAAAAATTAATGCTCATTTACAGACGATATATTCTCCTGGATCTACTTCCTGAATAGAATATTGATCTAAATGGAAATATTCTGCACCTTCGCGTAGCATCTCACACACTTTCGTACGTAAATTCTACAAAGCGAAGTTGGAACAATGCTTTTCAAGTCCTCTTCAGACTTTGAACATGCAGGATGCTACTTAAAACTGCAAAATCTCTCTAACAATATTTTTCGGCTTACCTTTGTCCTCTGGGGGGCAAGAGGGGTCCTCGATTATCGTATCCTCCTCCATATCCGGACTGGTATCCAGAGGAGGGTTCTACTCCTTTTCTGTATCCTCCTGCATCGCTGGACGATTCGTCTCCAAGTTTGCCATAACCATTTGAAGGGTAGTCGTGTATTAATCCGTATTCAGCTTTCGCAGGGGCTGGAGGTGGTGGTGGAGGAGCTGAGTAGCTATCATATGGTCTAGCTTCTTCAGTGTCTAGATCACCCGATGTTTTCTTTTCAGCAACACTTTCCTTTTCATCTTTTTTCAGTTCGGCTGACACCAAAAAGGTGCATGCAGCCAATATCACAAAAAGTTTCTATAATGTTAAGTACAAAGCTGTTAGTTTGAAAGATTTATCAGCAATTAGAAAACAGAAAAATTGAGTAAAATTTTTCCTTAAATGTACAATTTTTTTATTTTGAAAATACTTGATTAGTATTCGTAATTTTGCCTGATGGTACAATTTTTACTCAATAATGATAAAGATACATAAAAAGATTTCAAACAAAAAATTATTCTTTTGCAAAATCGAATGATTGAGAATCTTAAATGCTGGCAGCTTTTCTGAACATTATTGAAAATATCTACAATTCTGAAATATTTTTAATATTGCTCATGTTAAATCGAACATTTCATCAAAATTTCAATCTGTACTAAAAAATTAATATAAAGCAAAATATGATCATCGTATTTTCAATAATGCTTGTATGATTATTATATCTAAGAACTTTTAAAATAATATTCAAAAATTTGTTTTAACTATTTTCTTTAATTTTCTCCATTGAATAAAAAAATACAATGAAATTTTTCTTAAAAAGTTTTAGTTCTTTTTGCTATTTTAACTTGGTATTAAAAATATATGAGTCACCTGTCGCATTACTTAAGTGCAATCCAGATATTTTCCATTAAGCAAAACTCATATTCTCTTACATGTTCTTGCAAAAAAGAAAGCCACTTCTTGCACATGAACTACTTTCACTTAAAGTGAAAATATCTGGATGACATTGAATTAGTTTGGAAACTTAAACTCATATCTTGTTTCCTTTAAAAACATATTCCAATCTCAATGAGTGTTTCTAAATATCTTTACCGAAAAAAGCTCAATACGTTAAAGGTAGTTGCAGCAAAAAAGTTTGAAGTTTGAATGAACGAGAAGACTATCGTTCAAAAATTAACGTAATAATATTCTAAAATTTATGTTTCGAATAATAAATCATTAAAAAAAATAATGAGTTATCATAATGCCATATCCAAATTTTCTAAAATTTTCTATTTTAAGTTATTATACATGGCATTGTAATTATTATGAAATTGGTTCGAATTGATTTAACAATCATGATTCAAATACGATAATATGGTTGCAGTAGCAGTTTCACGGTGTTCAGCTTTCTTAGTTGAAAATATTTGAGAAATTTTAAATGACTAAAATCTCCGAAAAAGTTTTTCTCTTAGCTTTTTCTGAGTGTGCTGTAAAATTTTGGTCTTAATTTTTAGTTTTACCACAAATAGAGATCCATTGTAATATCTTATTCAATTTAAATCTAATTTAATAAAATAGAAATCCATTGTAAAATCTTGTAATATTTACAAAATATCGGAGATGTCATGAGCTAGTAATATAAGTAATTTTTAATATGAAAATAACTATATGATATTATTCCACAAAATATTTTCCATCTACTCTGCAAACATAGAAAATTCATCAAAATTCCTTTATGTATAATGTGAGAAACTGGTGATTACATTTCAAATTCATTTTATTCATTTATTAATTAAAAAAGAAAAAAAAAATTTGAGCTATCCTTAATAACATAAATTTATTTAATATTTATATTTTGATACAAATTTAGATTTTTAGGGACACATCAAACTTATTAAGAACTTGTGGAAATGAGTGAAGGAAAAACTTTTACATTAATCATTGATGCAATTCATTCATTTCAATCTCGCTCTCAACTAAAATTAAATTAATTTCCGATTCACGCGCTTAGGAAAAGAGTTTCCGAGATCAGTCATCTGTAAAATCAATTAACAAAAATGCAGATTCAAAGGTAAAAGACATCGTTTACTTTTCCTATTGCATAATAAAGTAATCAAATTTCATACTAATTTTATTTTAATTACTTTTAATATTAATTCTGCCCTATTTTATTCGCAATTGTTTTTATCCAGCACACTGTAAAAAATTCCAGATCAAATTACGCTAAATAGTACCGGCACTCAGATTACCTGTATTTTTTAACGGTACTTTTCATCATACTTTAATCATATAATCCATTTCTACCGGAACATGTTACGAAACAAAAAATCTGATGAACCGTAATTTTTACGGAAATAGTTACCGTTAAATCCCTGTATCAATCGAATGAAATAAATATTACTGTTCAAAATTGCGGTATACTATTTTATTGTAAAAATAAATTTTATTGCAAAAGGAATTTATTCCAGTGGGAAAGGAATTTTTTACAGTGAACTTATTCTGTACCTCATTTGCACTATTATGTACGTGCCACAATTTTCAATGCATTTCAACATTAAACAAAACTGTGACACATTCATATATCGTAATGTTAACCAATAATACATTTATTCAAGTATATTTTGCAAAACTATGTTCATATTAATGAATAAGGAAAAACTCTACTTTTAATTATGCATGTTTTTAAACATATGGTATTTTTTATGTTTCAATCGTTTTCAAAGACACACTTAGAAGAAGAAAATTGTAAACTGATATTTTTATCAAACGAATAAAATTCAAAAACATTTAATGCAAAGTTATTGGATTTATTTAAATGAGATTTTATTAAAAGAAAATCTAATGCGGTCATTCCGAGAAAAAGACGCTTTAAATTGTAAAAAATTACTTTATCTGTAAATAACTTACTGTAGGTTTTATTGTCTTTTTTTCATAAGATTTTTTTATTAAAAATATTGTTGCAATTAATTTATTTTCAAAAACTATAAATCAGCTTGGATGAAGTCTGGAATTATAATCAATTTAAAATTACTTGTTTTGTAATAAAATGGAGTTGAATTCGTAACTAATATCAAATTTTAATTGTATACTTTTTACGATTTGCAGCCCTAGAAATATTCAGTATTAAATTTTATATTAAAGGCTAAATTATATATAAAAATTAAAGGTGCAAAACGGTGAAAAATACGAAAAAATATATTAAAGTTTTAGCTAATTTACATTGAAAAAGAGCATTATAACCTAATAATAATAATAGTTCTTACTACTTATTTTATAGCTACAAATTCCTTTGAATCAAATGATTTTATTTATTCTTTGAAATTGAACGGTAAAAAATATAAAGCACATGCTATTCTTAATCTGGACCGGAATTTTTTTAAAAGAATAAATGCTAAATATATTTCCATAATATTGAAAAAGAATTATTATTTTAGCCATATTACTTATTCTAGAAAAAATATTCTTAACATTTCTATAAAATTGGTTTATTCTATAAAGAGAATGACAAATTCTTATGTACATAATTGCGAAAATAACAGGTATTAAGGATTAATCAATGTATTATTAACAATTTCTGAAGCTAAAATTCAATAACTAATATTGTAAACATTTTTTGCATGATTTATTAAGTTTTTTAATTTTTTTTTCAATTTTATTTGAGTAATTCTGAATTGAAAGTGCTTTCAAGTTGGTAATAACAATTAAATTAAATTAGGTCATAAACATGAATACTCAGACAAAAATAAATGCCAAGTAAGGAAAAAAATAACAAATGTATCGATAATAACGATGAATGTTACAATTTTAATGTTTTGCTTCTTTAAAAGAGATGTAATAGTTTGATAATTTACCTTTAATCAACAATTCATATGAAATTAAGAAAATTATTTAAATAAAACAATATTTAAAAACATATTTTTCTTCTTCGAGTTCAATTAACTTACAAATATGAAACTTATGCATAAGCAAAAATATTAGCTTCTTAGAATCGCTAAAAAAATGAGTAATAAACTTGTTGCATTCACTGCATTTATGAAAATATGACCTGTTTATTTTTTTATAAAGGAATAAGAACTAGAAAAGCTTATAATGTTTCTTAATATGAGGTTTTAAGAGCATTATTTGAGGAGATCAAAATTGTGTTTAAGATTATAAATAGGGATATAATGATTTGATTTACAAAAATGAAAGGGAAAGTAGATATAAGTCATTTTATACTTTTCTGCTACTTGTCTAATAATAAAATAAAACAAGCGTTTGTTGAACATTTTTAATGCAAGATTAAAGATTGATTTTTCATTATATACGAAAATAAACGGATTACAGCTTTCGGGTTTAAATAAAAATAGATGTTGAAAATGCTTTCTAGTGTAAGAAGTACTCATTTTAAAATTTCCATGTTTAAGGAAAATATAAAATAACGTCGCAAATATCTCAGAAATTGTTGACTTGTTTAATGCTATTTTTTATGGAAGCAATTTTTGAGTATTTATCTTCCTTTCAATCGGATGATATATAGTTTTTTTCCAATTTTAAGATACATTCGTCTTTAAACTACTTAAATAATAAATTGTTTTATTTAATAAACTTGACTTTATAAATATTACGTTATTTGATAAATGTTACATTATAAGGAAATGCTGTCACACTGAGCTTCGATACTTTTTAACATAAAATTTAACAGAACAAAAAATGTCACAAACTGTACCTTTTATGGCAATATTTACTGCAAAATCAATAAATCATTCATTTTAAATAAATAAATATTGCTGAAAAAACTAAGGTATAAAAATTTTCAGTAAAAAGGTATTGTACGGTAAAATTAAATCTATGGATTTTGCACTCAGTGTGCCAGTGGTACTTTTTATCGTAATTTGATCCCGAATTTTTTTCAGTGTATATATTTGAAATATACATAGTGAAGTCAAAATGTAATGTGCTATAATTTTATTATTATAAAGAGATAGATAATTCAAAATTTTATGGAATTTTACTAAAACACAGTCGAGGATAAAAAATATTGCGCATTAATTGACAGCAAAGTCATGCAAATATTTAATGATTTTTTATACAATAAACTATTCGAAAATGGTTATTATTTAAGGTTATTTTTACATAAATAGATTCTCATTCTTATGACAAAACGCAAAATCCTATAATAAACCTAAAATTTACAGCACTTACAAAATTCTCCTGATCACGAGAAAAAAACACATTCATCTAAGAATCCAAATTTAGCCGAAAACCGAAATAGGATATGAAAGCTCCGAAATCGGATCTTCATTGTGTCGTAACTTTCAAAATAGGTCAATCACTTCCACCTGGGTGGAATCATA